TATCTTCCAATTTTTTTACTAATCCATCTTCCATCAATTTTACTTGTTTAACAACATCTATTTTTACCTCAAAACTGTTTATGCAGTCATCGCAACACCAAAAAACGTTTGAATTTTCATTGATAGACTTCAACGCACTATCTTTCAGCTTTGCACAATGAGTGTGAAAATTATCTGCACATACTTTACACGAAACTAACTTTACGTTAACAATAAAATTGTCATCGCAGAGAGCACATACCGATGCGCTCCCCATGGCGACTGAACTGACTGACTGTAGTAGTAGCCTCACCAAGCTCATCAGAGACCGTTTGCATAGCAAAACAACCCCTGGAAACCCAGTATGCAACCCCCATGAGATGATGCTCGAACTTAAGGAATTTTCTCTGTTCACAACTACCGATGTTTCAGGAGTCAAGATGAATGTCAGACAGATTATACTTAATAGCCATGCTATTAGTCTTTGTCAGATTGAGTACAAGACGATTTGCATCACACCACTGCCCAATACGGCCCATGTCGGCCCTGATTGTGGTATCTAGGATATCGGCATTTAAGCCGTGTCACAGAACTATTGTGTCATTGGCAAACATGGTTAGAGTGCCAGATATACCCGTCTTAGGCAGATCGTTTACGTACAGTAGAAACAAGGGAAAGGGAGGATCCCTGAGGCACCCCTGCCCCGACGTATCGCACAAGTGACTCGATGTTATTAACCACAACAGTCTGCATTCTTCCCGCAAGGTAAGATGCTAGCCACTCAAGACATCTCCCTCTAAACCCATACACCTCAAGCTTGCGCAGCTGTTAATTTGCTAAGAATTTGGATTGGTTGACTCTTACTTTGTTGGTTATGTTTCTTGTTTTCTCAGGTTAGATTTTTTTTGTAGCACGCTCGTAGAAAAAAGTGTGTATGGTTTTATTACTAAGATGCTATGCCTTACTGTTTCGTGTAGTTTTTGTTTTTTTGTTTCTACAATTCAAAATCTCTCACATTTTCCCTAAGCGGGCCATGGGATGGGGCGGCAAATTTACTCATTGCCCAGGGCGGCGAAATACCTAGAGCCGGCCCTGTGACTTTCTCTACCGAGGAATATATAATATAGAATTTTTTACTAGTACTAGTAGAAAATAATAGTACATTATATATCTAGGTAGAGAAGTTGGTCATTATATACCGAGCGCTTTTATAAACCGAGGCGCGAAGAACCGAGGTTTATAATGCGTAAGGTTTGAAACCTGTGCTCAAATTATTTTCTCTTGTCGGAAGTGCTACCCTCTATCAACAGCTTACGGTAATTTCCTATAATATACATACAGGAACCTGCTTTTTTTAAAATTGACAGTTTGACACTGAAATTAAACCAATAGAAACTTGTTACGCTATGACAATATTTTTCATTATTTTTATTATTAACCTAGGGAGAGAAATTCAATTTTTCCCCAGAAAAATTGATGGAATAATAGGTCTTTCTGCAGAAATCACAAACCAGTCAGAGTGAATTTCATTGGTTGAAACTAGTTTTCTGACTGTTTTCAACCAATGAAATTTGCTCTGACTGGTTTGTGATTTCTGCAGAAACTGCCAGAAACAGACCTAATGACTAATTCTCAGGTTATGTAGGCTTTGCCTCCGGGATATCAATAGATATGGTGTAGACCAGCAACACGTGAAAAGGTAGTTGACAGCAGTTGTCCGAGAGACAGATAATTTTTATAATTTTGTCAATTTTATACATTTTTTTACAATTAAAAATGAATACTACTGAGTGAACTTTCATTTAAAATTTTTCATAAACTCGCCAAGGCCTCCTACAAACTTCAGAAGTGGGATAATGGATGGATAATTGTGAGGATTACTGGGACAAAGAAGCCGATTTGTGCCAGTGCAAAATTATGGTTTGCATATTTATGCCAGTGCAAAATTATGGTTTGCATCTTCATGGCTTAGTGGGACAAAGAAGCCGATTTGTGCAAATGCAAAATTATGGTTTGCATATTTACTGCCCCAGTGCAAAATTATGGTTTGCATCTTAATGGCTTAATGGGACAAAGAAGCCGATTTGTGCCAGTGCAAAATTATGGTTTGCATATTTATGCCAGTGCAAAATTATGGTTTGCATCTTAATGGCTTAATGGGACAAGGAAGCCGATTTGTGCCAGTGCAAAATTATGGTTTGCATATTTATGCCAGATCATACCTTATGTACTTATGATACCTTATGTTCTTATGATACCTTATGTTCTTATGATACCTTATGTTCTTATGATACCTTATGTTCTTATGATACCTTATGTCCTTATCATACCTTATGTTCTTATGATACCTTATGTTCTTGTCATACCTTATGTACTTATCATACCTTATTATGTACTTATCATACCTTATGTACTTATCATACCTTATGTACTTACGCTACTTTATCACGTCCTTATGATACCTTATGTCATTATGCAAGCATGTCTATCTTATGAATAATTTATGTTAGGTTTTATGTTTTATAGGCGAGGTCGCCTATATTTGTCAGGAAAGCCGAGTTGTAGGCTTTGCCTCCGGGATATCAATAGATATGGTGTAGACCAGCAACACGTGAAAAGGTAGTTGACAGCAGTTGTCCGAGAGACAGATAATTTTTATAATTTTGTCAATTTTATACATTTTTTTTACAATTAAAAGTGAATACTACTGAGTGAACTTTCATTTAAAATTTTTGATAAACTCGCTAAGGCCTCCTACAGTTAGTAGTAAAAAATAGTATATTACATACCGAGGTGGAAAGTGTTCTTTTCACCGAGGTATGTATACTATTTTTTCTACTTAGGGTCGGTTTCACAATAGCGAATCACCCCCGGGTTGGTTTTAACTCCAGGGTTAACGTGTCAAATTGCAATATTTACCTAGGAGTTAGCTTAACCCGGAGGTGACCTGCTATTGAGAAACCAGCCACTAGTGGAAAATGAATAATTTGTAATTTGTGCTCTAATTATTTTTTTTGAACGCCCTCTTGAAAGTGGTGTCGTCTACACTGGCGTAGCTAGGGGGCATTTGGGTGTAGCATTTGCCCCCCCCCCCAAGACCCTTACATTTTATGAATAATTTTTCAAAATTAAAATAAACAGTACCAAAAATAGCGTAAAAAAAACTAAAAAAGAGGCGTGGCACCAGAAAATTTCGCGCCTGCGGCGCTTTGCCTCCGGCAGCGGTCGCGGTGGGGCCGCAAGAAACACTTCCCGCAAATTTGCCCCCCCCCCCAAGGCAAAATCCTGGCTACGCCACTGTTCGTCTATCAACAGCTTATGATAACTTCCTATGTACCTACAGAAACATGTTTTTTTTTTTTATTTGACGTACGAAATTGAAATTGATCCAATAAAAAAATGATACAATATCCTTGCGTCATGACGTCATTTTCATTATTAACCTAGGTATTTTTTCATTATATTCATTATCAACCTAAGGAGAGAAATTCATTTTTTTCCTAGAAAAATAGATTGAATAATGACTATTTCTCAGGTTAGTAGTAAGGTAAAAAGTATTTATTTTGGACTATGGGGGCTAGGGGCTATAGGGCACGTCACAAGTTGTATTCCTTTCAAGAGTTTGATACACTCGAGCTACTCGCTCCGGCGCTCAGTCGCCCCCAATTTGCATGGAACATATGCGTGGTGCAACAAACACTTTTCGAAAGGAATAAGCGCGTGAAGCCCTGGAGCTGCTCCGGAGCTCCTCCTAGGTGTGAAAAGAATACAACTATTCATATACAGGGTGAGGTGACGACACAAGTTTTAAATCCTCAGATATAGACAATGACAATGAACTGATATAGATAAGCATTGTAAGTTTTTAAAATGTCCCCGTGTATAAAAACTCTGTATTATAGCGAATTTTATTGGAAGGATTAGTACGCACTGAGCGTATTCGTGTCTTTTACTACCAGCTTGTATAAGAAAGCGATAAAAATACCCAAGTAGGGTAAGTTCATTTCATGCGAGTTGTAACGAAAACATGCAACGCTGTAGGCATTAATGACGGCGGTTAGATGGCGCCAGTTTCATAGGGCACTTATTTCTCTTTCAAATAAGCCAAAAATTGAAACAATGCCAGGAATTAGTTAATTATATTTTTAATATTTATTCTACATTGAAAATTATATTATTATTAGCTTTTTTTCTTGTTGATGTGCGTTGCGCATGTCCGAGGTACAAGTAGGCTCTGTAAATCACCGAACTGGCGGCCATCTTGTCAATAAAAGCTCTTTTCGTTTCCGAGTGTGCAAGGTACGTCGGGTCGGTCGTCGGTTTTTCGCAAAACTTTGTATTTTTCCGGGCGGAAAAGTGTTCGTCGGGGTGTTTCGCGTTCGATTAGCACACTCGACACTGGCCAATAAGAAACATTACGGGTTTCTGGTCAAAAAAGCATCCTGCATGAAAATCTTAAGGTAGGTAGGTACCATTTATTCAAAAACATAAGCTTTGCATGAAAATAAAAAATAGGTGCAGTTATTTTTTATCAAAATAATACGTGATAATACCTTTTTATTGAAAAATTACATTTTCAAAAGAAAAATACCCAAATGCCCTTTAGTAGTAGTAGTTTTGTTAGATGGCGCTAGTTTTAATTCAATATGGCGTCCCCGTGCAAGTAACGTGAACATGTTTACTTTCATTCTGATTTGTCCATTTTTTGTCGTTGATTTTTTATGAAAAAATATGAATTTAGCAGCATTGCAGCATTTTAAATACCCATTGAACATGACGTCATTCGCTACAACTAGCAATAATATCACTGCAAATTAGTAAATATTGTAACGTTGTCAGATTGTGAAATGCTTAATTTTTCTGCTCAAATTTCTTCTCTATTTCTCAATTATTATATTGCCTATTCTCGGCTCTTGAATTTGATCTACAAGATCCTTATCGATATGCAATGCACCATCATCAAAGGCGTATCGATATATATATATAATATCGTATCGACTAGCCCACTACTACTATCGTCTATTTCACAACAAAAGTCTTCGCCCTTTTTCCTTTTTGCTCTACCAAAGAGCTACACCCAAATTAGATACTATTTTGCAATGGTAAACAGCCTTTTTTAAACTAAAATAATGTAACTCTAAGTTAATGTCCAACATCACTTCGAAGATGACCGTGTGGAATTCCAAAAATCCTCGCCCAGATGACCAACTCAAAGAATGGATTTACCGAGGCGAAGGCAATTGCAATTTGGTCTTGTCCCTGCCCAAATCCAGGCGAATTTTGCGGATAAGGAAAACCGAAAAACCCAAAACCCTTCTCGGCTGGATTCTGGTATTGATAAGCGATTTTATTCATTGGTATTACGGTATTGGGTTCAAAGATGAAGTGAGGGATTTGAATTTTTATAATAATGTAATGAGGCCCCTTATAGGGCTTGGGTATACTTCTGAATCCAAACAGGTGGCTTTAAGTCGAAAGCAAATGCGTATATTTAATGAAGGGCTTGAGAAAAAAAGGCCTGAGCATAGACAGAATAAAACCTTACAATACAATAGAGCTGCTTTGTTTAATGACTTTGCTTATTTACCAATTCAATATGATTATTTGCCATTCTCAGGCCAAACTTATTCAGTTGAAATTAAGCCTAAACAAGGCTGGAGGCCTTTGGAGGAACAACAGTTGTACAAACAATGCTTTTTTTGCATGAATCAACACTTAAAGTTGGAAAAGAAAACCATTCTAATGAAAACCAAATATTGTCCTGAAGAGTTGTTTTCAGGCGATGAAAAAAGGATGAAAATAGCACTGAAACATTTAATTGAAATTCCTCAAAACAACTTCAAAATTTTTAGAAATGGCTTGTTATGCTATGATGGCAAAAATGAAGACTTAATTATTGTACTACAAGAAATGTTTGAGTCTCAAGACTCAATTGATAGTTTAAATGAAGAATTCTGTGATTTTCTACAAAAATGTTTAATCAAAAATCTAGCAAATAATCCTATCTCATGTATTTGTAGTCCAAATACTAAACTACCAAAGGGTTCAGTATTAGAACACATCCTTTCAGTACAAATGCTTGATACTGAAGGTACCAAACATACTTTTGAAAAATTTAAAAAACATATTGAAGAAGATGATTACAGTTTTGTAGACAAACTGCTCGAAATTGTAGAAAGTGATAAAAAAACCTGTGTTAGATGTATCATACAAAAAGCACCAAATTCGATTTTTATGCCATACTTGATTGCAGCCATAGCAAAAGATTGTTCTTTGATGATCACTTTCAGAAAACTCAATAATACAACTTATAATGGCGATAATGTGTTTGTAACCAAGTTTGGGAGCTTTTTGGTGAACATCGGAGTATTTGATCTCTATCCTAAACCTTTATCGACTATAAGGAAGCATTTTAAAAGGAATGCTGACATGGTTAAGGCTTTAGTAGACCAAATATGATTTTATCTTTTAGACTATTTTATTAATTAATCTATTTTAATATTGCTTTTTTGGTATATATTTTTTTTTTTTAGCCAACATTTATGTGATAGATATTCTTATTTATTGTAACTGTTTTTAACAATAAAAAATTGCTTTTATTAAATTATGATTGTTTTATTGTTAGTAAATTTGCCAATATTTCCATTGAAATTTGAGCAAATCAAAATAAATTATACACTATTAGAAAGAGCATTAAATTATCTATAATTGAGTTTGAAAAGAATAGAAGAAACATGAAATTCTTTTATGATCCCAAAAGCAATTTGATTTTGAGTCTGTGTTTTTTTGTTTCTTTATGTTTTTAGTACATATATACCTATATTCAAATAGTTTCAAGTGAACTTTTATAGTTTCCTTCTAGTATTATCAAAATTGTTGAATCTTAGTCTCAAAATGAAAAATACACTTCTCTCCAAGTCCTTTTGTTCAATCCTCCCAGCTCTATGTTAAAATTGGTCATAATGTCTATTGTCTAACGTTGGTCATTTCCAAATTCCTATCAGACTTTGTACCTTTAATTATTTGACAAAATCTTCATTGAATGTAGTTCAATTCTATAGCATTTTTCAGAATTATGATAGTTTGTCCTGGGTCATTAGTCAAAAGCAAATATTTTTGCATTTCTTCGATTATGATAATTTCTCACAGGAATACCTCTGAACTCTGAACTACCATTTCTGGTGGATTTGTTTGTTATAGGTGAGCACTTATATATCATAAAATGCTCACACTATTGCATTTTTAAAGCAAATCTCTTCTAATAATCCCATATATTTACCATTTTTTACTCGGTTTTTCTACATTTCCTCTCTATTTAATTCTCAGTTTTTCGTTTTAATTCTTGTATATTTCTGACTCTTGAATTTTAATTTTTTTCTAGAATTCTCCATAGTGAAAAATCAATAACATAATATGGAGTAAAAATAAAATAGGTACTTCAATGTTGTCTTGAGAGATTGAATAATTTTTACATTCAAGGTGTTTCATACATTACACCTATAATAATAATTGTTGTGAGAAGAAAGTGAAGACTGTTAAAAGAGGATTTTCTTTTGGGATTTTCAAAAACTTATGTGCTGCTGACTTTTTTTACATAAGAAAGGAACCTATATTAAGCATACTTACTTACTTGACTAAGTAGGTATAGGTCTACCTACTCTACCTACAAATTGCAATTTTCGGACGTCTTTTGTTTATTTGTCTACCAAGTCTTTTTCGATTTTTCTTTTTTTTCTTTTTATTTCTCAATTTTTGTTTATTCTCGGCTCTTGAATTTGTCGAAATTAAGAAAATTCAAGAGCCTGGAATAAAAAAAGCTCGTATTTTTTTCCTTAATTTCTCTACATTTCTTGTCTATTTAATTTTCAGTTTTTCCGTCTCAATTTTTCTTTATTCTCGGCTCTTGAATTTTCGTTTTTTTTTTTCTGAATAAAGAAAATTCAGATTAGTATCGTAATTAAACAACATATTGATGAATATAGATGGCTGCGGAACTCGCTGCGCTCGTCCCGCAGTGGTCCACCCATATGTTCCGCAATAATCCACTCATGTGTACTGGAATAACTTATCACATTATATTACTAGTTTGGTAAAGTATAACATTACTAATTCCAATTCCTGTTAAAAGGCAAATTGACAAAAAGTGGACAATCTTACAAATTCTGACCTTATTTATATACTTAATAAATTATTGTTCAAGTACAAAAGTGGATTATTGCGAAACTTATGGGTGCACCTCTGCGGGACGAGCGCAGCGAGTTCCGCAGCCATCTACTTACCAATATACTGTTGAACTATTCAAATAAGATTCTCACCTGAAATGTGTAGTTTTTAAACTAATGAGAATAACTGAAATTTGAGTGAGTCAGGTTAGTATATCGTAATTAAACAACGTATTGATGAATAGATGGCTGCGGAACTCGCTGCGCTCGTCCTGCAAAGGTCTACCCATAAGTTCCGCAATAATCCACTCGTTTGTACTTGAATAATTTGTCACATTATATAACTAGTTTAGTAAAGTAATATTATACTAATTCCTGTTAAAAGGCAAATTGACAAAAAGTGTATAATCTTACAAATTCTGACTTTATATAATAAATTATTGTTCAAGTACAGAGTGTATTGTTATATATTGACACCCCACTTACAGCCTTCACCTTTACAAGTAGATGAAAACTGTAAATATAAAAGTTGTATAGTATTGGCTAAATTTTTAGAATTCATAGTCAGAAATAAAAATTGAATGTCAGAAATGTGAAATGTTGCATGCTTTCAGCTTTTTTCAAATGGGATGCTCTATATTTGGTTCTATATTCTTGAAGAGCACAATTTCCCGATTCCAAAACTATATAGTTTGTCTCTATTTGGTTGAGCCGTCTCCAACATATTTGGTTCTAAAAATTTTAAAAATAGTACCTATTTTTCAGAGAAACCAAAGTAGGTACCTACCTCAAATTTTACCAACAGCTTTCACCTGTACAGGCAGAATGGTTCACAAAATCAGTACTAGGATAGTATTTTTACAATTTTTGGGGCTGAATATATGAGAGATTGTTCAATCAAATATAGACAAATTATATATTTTTGGAATCGGGACATTGTGCTCTTCAAGAATATAGAATAAAATATAGGGCATCCCATTTGAAAAAAGCTGAAAGCATGCAAAATTTCACATTTCTGACATTTAATTTTTGTTTCTGACTATGGATTCTAAAAATTCAGCCAAAACTGTGCAGCTTTTGTATTTACACTTTTCTTCTACCTGTAAAGGTTAAGGCTGTAGGTGGGGTGTCAATATATTAAAAAACACCCTGTACAGTCTGGTGATATTAATCTGATACACAAAGGAATGTGAGCTGGTGGCTCCCTACATTAGAACGTCAATGTATACGCCACTGGAGTCACCCTGTTCCTGACAACCCCTTTAACCTTCCCGTTAGTATGACTATGAATTTGATCCTAACGTACAGTTTTTGAAGAATTGTTCGAGTAATTGTCATCTTTGATGAATCCTGAAAGTTTCAATTTGCTATGATGGCTCAAAGTATTTTTCAGGGAACTTCAAAGATGATTTTATAGGAATTTTATGATTTTCCCAAGTATCAATGAGTAAATTAATCTGTAACTTTGGTTGTGAACTTCATATCAACTTCTAACTTTTTGTGTATCATGAAAACACTCTAATTAATAAATCCTGAAAGTTTCAAGTTGCTGTGATGACTCTGAAAGTATTTTTCAGGCAGTGATTTTACAGGAATTTTATGATTTTCTCAGGTATAATCATAGGCGCCGAAACGATGGGGGCAATGGGGGCTTGAGCCCCCGTAGCGAGAAGATTTTGGCATTGTCTGTAATGGGTGTAGTGAGTAGGTACAAAAATATTGAGTTCCTGATCCTAACATTCCTATTAACTATTTATTTTTATATAAAACTTGTGTTTTAAGTATTTGTTGCTTTTGCTATACCGACTTTGACAAACAGTTTGAATATTTTTTTGTTTAGTATAGTATAGTAAATTTTAGGGGCCTTAATACAAAAAGCTTAGATGAGAGATATCCATTACCCAACATAACGGATCTCTTGAAGAAGCTGGACAGCTGGAACGCTGCCAGTATTTCACCACCTTAGATTCAGCTAGCGGCTTCCACCAGATCCAGATGAATGAAAACGACATCGAAAAAAACCGCATTCAGCACAGAAAACGGGCATTATGAATTCTTGCGCATGCCCTTTGGTTTGAAGAACACGCCGGCTACATTCCAAAGAGTTCTGGATGATATTTTATTTTTTTCTCAATTTTTGTCTATTTCTGGCACTTGAACTTGAAATAAAGAAAATGTAAGATCCTGGAATAGAAAAAATATGAATCAAGGGGTAAACCACTAGGGTGAAAATGTGACGCAGGATTTCGCTGAAATGACCAAGCATACCCACTTACCTAAGGTACCTAGTAAATTCGATAAAGAAGACAACTCAAATTAAAAAAAGCTACTATGATTTTCCGAAAAATAAAATACAAAAGTGCTATATGTTAGAAATATCGTCGAAAAATAACATTTTTGATACTGCTGGCGCATGCAAATATTATCGCTATGATGATTTTTCAAATCTCTCTTATAATCATTATGAAAATAAAGAATGGGGCACTTTTGACTTTGGAAACATCACTACCAGTGATGTAATCAGGGGTATAAGAAAACTTAAACCCAAGAAATCCACCGGCCACGATGGATTACCATCTTATACAGGGTGTAAAAAAAAAGTGTATCGGACTTTTAGGGGTGATACTACTTAGGAAAATAAGAAGAAAAGTTCCCATGAACATGATGCTCTCTGAAGAAGTTACAGCCCTTCAAATGGTAGATGAAAATAATAGATTTTATATATTTTCAAGAACAGTGGCAAACTATTTTCCTTGAATTTTGGTATTCTTGCATACATTTTCGGTGCAAAAGCGAATCGTGATAGTTAAAAAGTCGTAACAGTTCTGAACTTAGATTATATACAGGCTGAGGTTTTGAAACGGTAGTTTCCAAGGGCAGAAAGTAGTTACTCACAACACAAAAAAGCATCTTAGGGCATATGTTCATAGGAACTGTTTTTCTTATTTTCATATAAAGTATCACCCCTCGAAGTCCGGTATACTTTTTTTTTACACCCTGTATAAGGGATGTGCAGAACTACTGGCAGAACCTTTGGCTTATCTTTTTGCTATGTCAGTTGAACAGAAATGCTTTCCAGATGTATTAAATTGTCATCTTTTTTTCCAATTCATAGAAAAGATGCAAAGAATGACATTCTAAATTATAGGCCTATTAATTTGTTAAACAGCTTGGCCACAATCTTCGAAAACATTCTTTATGAGGAAATATGTGAATGTGTAAAACATAAAATCAGCAAGTTTAAGCATGGTTTTGTAAAGGATAAATCCACTCTAACAAACCTGTGTTGGGGGAGAAGGAATAGTGTTAAGATAGGTGATTGTTTCTCTAGTGAATATATATCAACCTCAGGAGTCCCACAGGGTAGTAAACTTGGGCCATTGCTTTTTCTATTGTTTATAAAAGACTTGTCTGACTGTAAATTCATCTATTGACCTAATATATGCAGACGATTTTAAGCTGTTCAAAATCATATGTGTTAAATAGGATGTTGTCAAGTTGCAAGCTGAGTTGAAGTCAATAGTTGAGTAGTTTAAGAATTGGAAAATGTCTCATATGTTAAGAAAGGTGCAGTAGTAACATATACCCGTAAATTAAATTAGGTTAGCTTATGTTTAATAAATGGATTTGGTTGGCATCTGTGTGTGACTTTAGCGTTCGCCATATTATTGGTTGGGTGTATAGTTGCCATGCAAACTCCCTTAAGAGACTCTGATTTCCCGATTTGAAGGGATTTCTCAATGCTAACGCAGGAGTTCGCACAGATTTTGCGGGACTGCGCATCGATTTCCAAGATTGCGCGCAGAATTCCTGGGGATTTTGAAGGATTTCGCAGGATTTCTACTGAATTTGTGACAGTATTGCGCAAATTGGTTCACCCCTTGATAAGAATATTCTCTTATCTTTCTCAATTTTCTTTCAAGAAAATTGCCGAAAGAAACTAAATTACCTAGGACAGCTATGAAGTTATGAACAACTTAAAACGAAAAATGTCCCTGGAAAAATTCAAGAAAATACTTTCGCATTATTGAAGGATAAACTGAGGAAAATCGCCTCTCCTGTATAATCTGAAATGATTCAAAAAGAAAAAAATCAAACAAAACACACAGGTAATTAGTCAATTTATTAAAAAAGTAAAAAAAAAAAACGAAAAACAGTCGCAAAACATTAAAATCTACAAACTAAAACCTAGAAAATAAACATTTAATACTTTTTATTAAGTATAGGCATAATAGAACTAACATCCAAGTTATTATATCCGCACCCCTTTTCAATCAAATACTTCCTCATCAACTCCATCAGCCCATTGGTGTTGTACATAGTCAAAAAAGTCCTCAACGAAATAGGAGGATTTTTGTTGTAAATCTGAAACCCAGTTACATAGGCGTAAAACCTGGCAAAATCACACGGCACAAAAACATCAACCAATTGCCTCTCTGAAATATATTTTTCAACATCTTCCAGACATTCCATTTTGGTGAATTCTACATGTTCGGGCAAAGTAATCAGTTCGGTTTGCTTTGATTTGTTCAAACCTGTATCCAATATATTTTTGTAGGCTTTTTTGATTGCACTTAGGTCTGTTTGAGTTAAAAATTCCTGGTCGTTTTCTAAGCTTTTCAGAAACATTTCAGCCTGAGCATGATCGTGATAGCGTAAAAAAGCATGTTGTTCAGGCATGTAACGTAGCTTACCATTAGGAATTAGGTCTTCTATATTGTTATTATTATTATTGTGGTTTGATTTATTGTTACAGTTGGCTTGTAGATCTCCAAAAGTTATTTGTTTTGGATAAGTGAATGAGTTGTTGTTGTTTACAGGAGAAATTGGCTCAATTTCTGGACTATAAGGTACAGATATTCTCACAGGATAGTCTGATAATGTTAATTTTTTTGGTGATTCACTTTTGATTGGGCTTTTAGCCTCACAATGCTCTTAAAAGAAGATTTAGTTAAAATACATTTTCAAAGTGGAAAAGAGTCTTACCATCATCCTCACTATCGCTGATTTCGATTAAATCGGGCAACGGGTTTTTGGGTATGCACTTTATTAAATTGAAAATTTTCTCTTTCAGCTTGTCGTTGGTTTTTATTTTGTCGATTATTCCTTCAAATTCGTCCTTTTCTTGTTTGATATCGTCTGCAATCGTCGTTTCATTGGAACTCTTTATGACCGTCGTTCGGGGCTGATCACTGGCCTTTGGCGATTCTAGAAATGGAGAATTGCTTCAAGAAAAAATGTTAATTTTTAATGCCAAGTGTTAGTTTTGAATTTGATAATGCATGCACATTTGAATTTAAAGTTTTCCAGTTTTTTAATTTTCTTCAAATTCGAAGAATTTGCTTGATTTATGAATTTAAAACAGGGTGTGGATAGTTCAAATTTTGATTATCACCAGCTCTTGTGAAGCTGCATCGAAAATATTCATTTGTAGAGAATTTGATTGGCTTCAATTCAAGCCTAGTTAGGTTAAGGTCGGATTGAAATTAACAAAGTTATGGGGTAAAATGTGTATCAATATTATTTTGAGTTAAATCAAAGGACTTCGCACACTTCTTATGGATTTCTGACCGCGGTCAAATTTAACCAAATTTCAGTATGTTATAGATCTCAACTTTTCAATCAATATTTACCATGGCCACAACTTGATCCTAATATGACTAGTTTTTGAGATACACCTAGTTTACAGTCTAAGAAATAATGTTCACATTTTATATGCATTTACCTGAACATGAGGATAACTGTCCATCCTGGTATATGCGATCATTTCGTGTCCTTTAGGGCTAAATTATGGACTGACTGGTAAACACGTTTGGTTGTTACCTAGCAGGTACCTACTTTCTATGCAGTAGAGTAGAGAATAGAAAGTACCTATTAGGTAACAACCAGACACTTACCAGTTGGTCCATAATTTGGCCCTTACAAAGACACGAAATGATCGTAAAAAAAATTTGAAATGTCATCGTTTTAGCACAGTTTGTTTTAGTAAGAAGGTGATGATTTAGATTTTGGAAAACTTTGAAAGGTCATAAGAGAAGTTACCTTATCTCAACCATCACCAGTACATACAACAAAATGATATGATCAGAAAGTCAGAAACAAACCAATCTAAGAGTAGAATGGAACAAGGATCACTTTCTCCGGAAAAATGATTAATCCCAAAACTCCTAGAGAATGGTAGACAGAATAATATTTTGATGATAGACCTTGAAACATAAAATGCTTTTGTTCGAAAACATTAGAATCTTCGGAAAAAAAATATTCTTTAGTTAGTGAAGCTATTATAGAGCAATTTTTAACATATTGTCGTATCTAAGATAATAGGGCATCCAGTGGCGTATCAACCCAGCTCCGGGCCTGTGTGCCAAAATTTCTGGGGGCCTATCACAAGCCCCCCGCCGGAGGCTAAATTTTTTTTTGAGTAACCCAAACTAACCCAAATTTCGACCCAAAAGTCGTTCAAAAAACACTCCTTTTTTTTATTAGGTATTTTTATTTAAACGTTGAATTGTGAATTCACCATTTTCAAAAGTGGTATGAATAATTATATCCTGTTCACAAACCGATGTCCACAGGTGCAGGTAAATTTATCACCATAGGCGCAACTAGGAGAATGCTTGGGGGTGCTAAGCACCCCTAAAACAAAAATTAGCACTCCTATTCGGCATCCCACCATAGCACTACCTAACACTTATATAAAAAATTAGTGCAACCAAATTATTTTCAAATGTTTTCGAAATTTTAATAATTTTTGAAGTTCCCGTGATTTTTTTCGTAATTTTATAATTGTCCTAATTTTTTTCAAATTTAATTTTCGCAATTTACCCATGATTTTCGCAGTTCTACATAATTTTTGAAATTCCCGCGATTTTTGTAATCCTCGTGATTTTTGTAATTTTTCCGTAATTTCCGTAATTTGCTAATGATTTTTGCAATTTCACGTAGTTTTTGAAAATACCCGTAATTTTTTAAAATAATGTACATTATATAAGTATTTCCATTCCCGGTTTTTTCATAATTTTGCAATTCTTATTTTAATTTTTCAATAATTGTAAGTGTTGTAATTTTTTCAAATTTTCATGATTTTTGCAATTTTAATGATTTTTGTTATTTTTTTGTAGTTTCCGTTTTTAATGTAATTTTTCAATTATTTTTGTAATTTTGCATAATTTTTGAATTTCCAGTATTTTTCACATTTTTTTTATTTTCATTGCTTTTGTGATACCCGATTTTTTTGTAATTTTTTAATTATCCTCTTTGTTTTTTAATAATTAATGTATTTCCCGTGATTTTTCAAAATTCCCGTGATTTTTGCAATTTTTCCGATTTTTTTCATTTTTTCGCGATCCCTGTAATTTTTGAAATTTCTATAATTTTTCAATTTATTTTTATTAATTCTATATTTTCCGTATTCCTGTATTTTCCATAATTTTTTAATAGAATTTTCATAATTTTGCTAATTTTTTGAAGAATCTTCGCAAATTCGGTAATTTTTTGATTTTTTCGTAGTTTCTAATGTTTTTCAATTTTTGTAATTCTTTAATAAATTATTTTCCTAATTTTTTAATTCTTTTAATTTTTATAATTCTCATAATTTTTTAAAAATCTAGTAACTTTTTGTAGTTTTGAAATTTTTGTAATTTCTGCTAATTTCAATTTTTGTAATTTTCGTAAAATTTTCCGAAATTTTTGCAATTCTTATATTTTTCAAATTATCAATTCAAAACTATAGGAATTACATACATAATGCAAAATTTCAAAAAATATTCTGAAATTACAAAAAAATAGGGGAATTACAGGAATTATCCAAAAATGCAGGAATTACTCAAAGTTATTCAAAATTACAGGAATTATTTGTAAATTACGGAAATTTTCTCAATATTACAGAAAATTACGGAATTTACGAAAAATGGAAATTATGAAAAATTACGTGAATAACGAAAAATTACGAGAATTATGGACATTACGAAAAACTATGAAAATTACAGAAATTATTGCAAAAATTTAAAAATTTTCAAATGAAAAATCACTCCATAAAAAATTCTGGAAAATTGACTTATTTAAGCAAAATTAAGGAAAATTCACTTTTTACATTTTAATTTTTTTCTGGAAAACTGGCAGAGGGAAAATTTTGAAAATTTTCCAAGAAAAAGAGGAAAGTGAGGAGCTCATTATAGGAAAATTTCGAAATTTTTCAGTGAGAAATCACTCTAGGGAAAATTGTGGAAAATTACTTTTTCAAGTAAAATTAAGGAAAATTCATCCTCTCACAATTCAATCAACTCGATTTTTTGAAGTGAAACTTCTCAGGCGGCAGTCTGATATTTGGACGAGAATGGAGAGTGATCTGAAAGACGCGTCATGTTTTAGCAAATTTCGTTACACGAGAGAGAAAAAAAAATAACGTAGAGGGACGGAGAGAGACAGCCAATGACAATGACAGCCGACGAACGATTGACGCACAAACCAAGGATTATAAACTATTATTGTCAACCTTTGTGACGTCCCTATAGATGCACGTTTCTCTTTTGTGTGGTCTTTCCTTCGTCTCTACTAAGGTTTTCATACCTTAAAATTTTGTACTTTAGATGGGAGTCACGAAGCGGCGAAAATTGTCTTGGCACACAGGCGGCTAACACCCTAGCGGCGGCCCTGCTATCATCCTAGATACGACAATATGCCAATATTATAAGATTCATAATTCTAAAGTGATACAATTAGGAGGGAACTTTTAAGATCTACAAAATAAAGAAAGAGGCATGCTAACTGTACCTACCCGCGTAAGGCTTAAGATACATCGTTCAGTTGCTAGTAGAATTTGCTATCGACGATTTGGAAGGTCTTTAGGGTCTAGTTTTAAGCTTGGAAGATGACTTGCTTAAAGGGGGTGTGACCCAAAAATGAAAGTTTTAGTGCAAAAAAATCTAAGAATAAATATTTAAACCGCATCGTGCTACGATGTTTCGTTTTCGAGTTAGAGTGGTTTAAAGTTACAACTAGGTATTTGTGACGTCACACTGGATTATCAGGAACAGTATTAACACGTGTAAAAATGTTCCAAAACAAAAGAAAATTATCTCCTAGAGCGAATTGCAACCACACAAAGTATAGGGTACAGTTCACTGACGACTAAACAAACAGAAGACTGTGATTTCGGCGATTGTGACATCACAAGTTCCTGCATAATTTATCTTCACAAGGAATTTTCTCGGAGACTATTTTGAATATAGGACTGCGGTTTTCACGAGAGATCTTAGATTTTTTTTCTTGATTTAAGTAGCTTAAGTCGTTTTTCAGGGTCACACCCCCTGTAATGATTTTAGAAATGTTTATACAAATTTACAAAAGAATCTACTAAAACGAAGATCTGTCATCAGTTGAAAAATTAAAATTTTAAGCTACATATTTGAAGCAGAAGGAGGAGGAAGAAGAAGAGGAGGAAGAAGAAGAGGAGGAGAATAAATAAGAGGAGGAGGAAGCATAGGTGTCATTGAACTAGAGAAGTTAACGGTATGGAATCCAAAGAGATGGTTTAATAGTAGCTGTGGCTGATTCTGCAATATAACAAACAAATTGTGTAGACAGTGTCTGTATAAGCCTTCATACTAAGTTGTACATTTCTACATAACGAACCCATAATGCAAACAAACTAGAGTCCAAAACTAAATTTTACTCACCTAATTGTGTTTTATTATTGTCATCATTGGACGGCACTCTAGTAGTAGTAGGTTCCTTTGTAATTTTCTTGGAAGTGTCCGGAGTCGAAACAACCACAGGAACTTGTATCGGACTGACTTCTTTTTGAAGCGTGGTATTTGTATCCACTGGAACCACAACAGTTGCATTCTCAGGAGTTTTTTTTTGCAAGGCTTGAGCTAAAAGTGTCGAGCTCTCTTGCGTTGTTGGCATCAAATGAGGTGGAGGCCTCACCATTGAATGGATCGTATCGGGTATGTATATTGGTGGACAATAATAAGGCATGTTTGGGCCGTAGTATGGAGGGATCAGAGGACTTGGAGTAGGCATAGGTCCTGGAAAGAGTGCAGGATTTATTGTAGGCATAGGTGCATTGGAAGGAATTGGATAGGGGATTTGATCTTGTGATAATGTACTCATTTGATTTAATTCGTGGGGACTTATTAATGTTTGAGAAATATTAGTTGCTTGTTTGTTTCTGGCATTTGATCCATTGTATGTTTGAGGAGGTTGTTCATTTGATTCGATGTGATAAATTTGAGCAGCTCTTTGATTTTTTAATGTTTGCTTTTTCGTTTGAGGTCTTGCACGGGCATAGGTGCGTTGTGTGGTTTTGGTTGGTTTGTTTTGAGGAATTTCTTGTATTGTTGGAGGCATTTGATGAATTGCATTTCTAGCCATTAATCCATTATGCGGTAATATTTGGTTATAATTATATAGAGATAAAAGCCTTTGATTTTCAGTTAATTCTTGATTATTTATTTGAGGCAAACTATTTGGCATCATATGTCTCTGATTTTCAATCATTATTCCATTTTGAGATAGAGACCCCTGCTGTGGTAGTGTTGGATGATTACTCGATTTATACAAATTATTTAATAATAAAAGCCTTTGATTTTCATTTGTCAATGCATTTTGAGATAAAGGTCTCTGATGTAGGGTTTGATTATGTGATTGAGGTAAATTATTTGGTCTCTGATTTTCAGCAATCGATCCATTTTGAGAAAAGGGCCCCTGCTGATTTTGATGAATTGATTTAGGCAAATTATTTGGCCTCTGATGATTTTCAGCAATCGATTCATTTTGAGAAAAGGGCCCCTGCTGATTTTGATGAATTGATTTAGGCAAATTATTTGGCCTCTGATGATTTTCAGCAATCGATTCATTTTGAGAAAAGGGCCCCTGCTGATTTTGATGAATTGATTTAGGCAAATTATTTGGCCTCTGATGATTTTTAGCAATCGATTCATTTTGAGAAAAGGGCCCCTGCTGATTTTGATGAATTGATTTAGGCAAATTATTTGGCCTCTGATGATTTTCAGCAATCGATTCATTTTGAGAAAAGGGCCCCTGCTGATTTTGATGAATTGATTTAGGCAAATTATTTGGCCTCTGATGATTTTCAGCAATCGATTCATTTTGAGAAAAGGGCCCCTGCTGATTTTGATGAATTGATTTAGGCAAATTATTTGGCCTCTGATGATTTTCAGCAATCGATTCATTTTGAGAAAAGGGCCCCTGCTGATTTTGATGAATTGATTTAGGCAAATTATTTGGCCTCTGATGATTTTTAGCAATCGATTCATTTTGAGAAAAGGGCCCCTGCTGATTTTGATGAATTGATTTAGGCAAATTATTTGGCCTCTGATGATTTTTAGCAATCGATTCATTTTGAGAAAAGGGCCCCTGCTGATTTTGATGAATTGATTTAGGCAAATTATTTGTCCTCTGATGATTTTCAGCAATCGATCCATTTTGAGAAAAGGGCTGATGTGCTAATCTCAATTGAGAAGAATTATTCACCAATAAAGGCCTCTGATTTTTATCCTGGGATAAGGCTCCCTCTTGGGATGATGTATGATTGTTCGACTTATACAAATTATTTAGTAACAAAAGCCTTTCATTTTCAATTGACAATTCGTTTTGGGATAAAGGCCCCTGATGTTGTAAGGTTTGATTACCCAGGCAATTATTTGGCCTCTGATGATTTTCATCAATGGATCCATTTTGAGAAAAGGGCCCCTGCTGATGTGTTAATTGAGAAAAGTTATTCACCAATAAAGGCCTTTGATTTTCACCTTGATTGCTCAATTGAGGCAATCGAAGCCTTTGATTTTCAGCAATTTCTTTTTGAGATAGAGGCCCCTGAATTGGCAATGTTTGATAACTCACTTCAGGTAAATTATTCAAAAGCCTTTCATTTTCAGCCATCAGTTTTTTGTGAGATAGAGGCTCTTGATTTGGTAATGTTGAGTAATTATTGCCCAATAAAGATCTCTGAATGTTATTGTGAGATAAGGGCTCCTGATGTGCAGGTTGATTATTCACCAATAGATTTTTATCCTGAGATAAGGGCCCCTGACGTTCTAATGTCTGATTAATCAATTCTTTCACCAATAAAGGTCTCTGATTTTCATTGTCAGACGAAGGTCCCTGGTGGGCTAATGTCTGATTAATCAATTGTTGATTCTGATTCAATTCAGGCACATTTCCATGTAACAATTTTTGAAGCAATTTCGCTAATACTTGAGCTTGAGGCCTCACCAAATTTTCATTCGAGGGAGTTGTGGAACCGAAAAGCGCCGCCCTCCTTAATTCTTCCATTTGTTTCTCGGCATTTTCTCTGTGACTCTTGCACCGAGGCCTTTTTGCCTGAGTTTTGGCCGAATAGGGAGGCGGAGGCTTATCATTGCCCGACCGCAATCTTAGATTTTGTAGTTCTGCAAGTTTTCTCGGTAGCATACCATTCGGATCGAGTATGTCGAATGAAAAAGTTGCATTAGGTTTGCATTGTTGTTTTTGAATTATTTTGTTGAGGGTGGCTCCCATGATGGCTCTGGTAGAGGTTACTTCAGGTTGGCCTACGAAAAAAAACTAAACATGTAAAATTTAAAATGCCACTAGACTTCCTATGTGTCTAGTATTCTGTATAAATATGATTCTTACCTAAATACCCAATGACATTTAGTGTTTCTATTTCAGGGTCGAGCCTTTTAAGATTTTCGTCGATAAAATTTATTGTTTTTGCGAGCATTTGCATCAGGTCTGGTTGAAATTTTTCAGGTAATTCGTCTTTTAAATGTTCCAAGTCCAGATAAACTCCTGATATATAGGTCAATTCGTCAACGTCGAATTTAAAAGGTCGTCTACTTAGATATTTACGTAAACAATCGTAGTTGTTTTGGATACGGTCAATTGTGCTTTGAGGTAATAGTAGTTTCATTTGATCTTGAATTGTATTCAAACTGGGCTGAGGCATTTTTGGAACATTTTTTGGTTTTGAGTTGCTTTTTTGGCTTAAGTCAATTGGAATTTCTGAAATAGGACTTTCAGGTTCCGGTGAATAATTGAGTTCGAGTACATCAATGGCTGTTTGTTCTTCATCATCAGTAGCTTCATTTTCAATTTGTTCAAGGTGTTGATCTTCTTCTGCTGGTTCTTGATGTTGTAGCTCGATGACATTTTCGGGCTCTGGTGAATTGGACTGAGGATGGGTTTCGGTTTGTAATACTGGCATGTCTGCAGTCATCCTTGGTGTAACTATGTCTGAGGTCGTTCTTGATGTGGCTATGTCGGCGGTTGTCCTTGGGACTATGTCAGTAGTCGTGCTTATGACTATATCGGAAATTGTCCTTGTGACTTCGTTTGTCTCATCGGGATTTTTCGGTAGTGGTTTGATTTCCATACTTTCTCTTCGAGGAGTGGTCGCTGGGAGTACTATAGCTAAATAGGAAAATTCCCATAAGTAATCAAATTGAAGACAGGAAAATTTAAAATTCAACCTGATTAAAAAAGAAATAGAGATATGGATCAAAATGATAATCTTTACCGGCTCTTGATTTACTTGGGAAAAATTTCCAAGTGATTCAAGAGTCACTTATGATCAATATTTCAAATTTTCAGCTTTTAATTTTTTCTGGAGGTTTTCTAGTGATTCAAACGCCAGTAATAATTAAAATTTTCAGTAGTAATCAAGTGCAATGAAAATTATCGATAATTTTTGGGAAATTTGCTCGAATGCATGAGTGCAAATTTGTCGAAAATTATAGATATATTTCCATTGCATGAGTTGTATTTCATGAGAGAATTTTGTGAATCAAAAATTTAAATTTTTTATCAAAACACCAGTTTTCGCTGTAATTATCTGATAATTTGCACTACCTACACCTTTTTCAATTGTAATTCAGAAAATCAAAGTTTAATTTCAGAAAAGGGAACATGAGTATTTTAAAATAGGAACTTATAATTCAGAAAAGAGAAATTGAATTTGAAAATCATAACTTAAATTTCAAAATAGGGAAAATGAAATTTTAGATTGGAAAGTTGAAATTCAGAAAAGCAAGATTGTAATTCAGAATAGTAAATTGAAATTCGGAAACTGTAAATTATAATAGTTTAGAAAAGGAAAATTGTATTTCAGAAGGTGAAAATTTAATTTCAAATAATGGAATTTGTAATTCAGAAAAGTAGGTATAATATGCACTTTACGATAAGCTTATAGTGATGGGCTAATACCCGGTAAATTAATTTGGGTAAATATCCCTAATGGACAAGTAAATGGGTTTCGGCGAGGGTTTGGGGCATAAGGTTTTTTAAATATTTTAGTTGAAATTTAAATTTTATTTGAGTTGTTATAAAAATAAATTAAAACAACACATCCCTAGAGAAACAACAACATCGCTAGACAAAGAAAAAACAAAATTATACATCAACATTTAATATATAGATAAAACTCCAATCTTCCCACAATATTTTTGGTAAATACACGGTACTTATTTGTCGGGTATTTATTTTTTTGCCCATCGGGTAAATATCCACTGCCCATCACAAGTAGATAAGCTAGATATGTACAGAGGTACAGAGAGTGAGAAAACCTGTCTTACCTGTCATATAATAACAGATAAATGACATAGAATAAAACTTTTTTATGTAAAACTCTACTGACGATAAATTAATAAACATACAAGATTGAAAATTGAAAAAAAAAAACACTCATAGATATTTCATGATTCTGAATTACATATTAAAATCTGTTTTTTATTTAAAGATAAAAGTCAAAATGACATTATGTTGGCAATACAATGTAAAATTGTCAATAGTTTCAAATTTTGTATGTAGAAAAGGCTTGTGTTGCCAACATAGTTACTAAATTTTTGACTTGGGGAATTATCTTTTAAAAAAAAAAAACAGACTTTACCAATTCTGAATTACATTTTCCTATTTCCGATTCTCAAAATTGCATATCTGAATTACAATTTACATTTTCTGGAATTAAATTTTCCCTTTCTGAATTACATATTCCTATCCTGAATAACAAATTGCCATTCCTGAATATTATATTCCTATTCTGAATTACAATTTCCATTTTCTGAATTGGGTCAAACATCATTGTTGGTATAAAAGCAACTGAATTTTATGCATCAGTGGTGACTTATGTGATAGCCTAATAGTTTGCAATTTTAATCAGACGTTATTAAAATTGCCAATAATAACCCGGTTAGTTTGGGTTAGAGGTTAAAATTGCGAACTTACATAAAGAAATACACGAATGTAAAACGGAAATATTAGCCGTGTATCTGACACTTTTGACAGCTGCTCACGTGAAAAAAATCATCAATTTATACATGCTACATGTAAAAATACAGGAAAAAATACACAAATGTAATGCGAGTTTAACCCAAACTAACCGGGTTATTTGATTGAACAGGAAAAATGCAAATTTACGCAATTTAACAATATACTTGAAACTTGAAATACAAAAAAGGATTTTTATCCAATCTGAAGTGTGCTGAACTGTGCCGTATCAGGTTTTTCTCAAAATTTCAATATTCGGTCATTTTCCGACAAAATCCTAATGGGGGGCTATCTTGACGCTCAGCCCCCCCCAAAATTTCGAAAATCAGTTTGCACAAAATTCAAATCAAATCAAATCAAAATATGCTTTATTGTAAAAAGAGAAAAATATCTTGTCTACAAAGCAGAAAAATACAATAATAATAAGAAAAATACAATAATACAACAATAAACACAATTATAAAATGTCAAAATTTAAATTCACAAACCGCCGTAAGAATAATAACAGTACAATAATAAATACAATATTAAAATGTCAAAAATTAAATTCACAAACAGCCGTAAGAATAGATACAATTATTAAAACTAAAAACAAAAATACATATGAAAACAGGACATTAAAATGAAAATACTTAACAAAATCAATAGCTGCAAACCTCGCTACAAACAATCATCGTAATACTCCTCCAGGCTGTAATAAGACCTTGCCATCAATACACTCTTCACCCTTTTCCTGAACCGCGAGTATGGCAATTGTCTATATTCGGTGCCCAAATGGTTATATATCTTGAGGCCTTCATATATAATTGATTTTTTTGTAAGTGTCATTCTGGGAATAGGGAGTCGTAGATTTTGGTTTGCATTCAACCTTGTGTTATGTAAACGGTCAGGGACCTCAAAACACGATTTTTTGTGAATCAGACACACTGTTTCAAGAATAAATAAAGAGACGAATGTCAATATCCCGTGTGTGATAAACAGTGGTCTGCAATGTTCCCTTACTCCCACCCGACACATAAATCGTATTGCTTTTTTCTGCAATACAAATATTGAATTGAACAATTGTTGATTACAAAAGCCCCAAAATGTTATACCGTATCGAAGGTGCGATTCAAAAAGTGAAAAATACACCATCCTTGCCGTCGCGGTATACCCAATTCGTTGGAAACGACTCTGATAGCGAAGCAACCAGAGGCCAGCCTAGAGCTCAATGATGAAATGTGTCTATCAAATTTAAGTTTGTTGTCTATGAGAAGGCCCAAGAACTTAGTGACTGGTTCATTTTCGATTTGTTGATCATTTATCTTTAAGTCATGAAAATTAAAACCAAAAGTCAGTATATTAGTTTTAGCGATATTTAAGCTGAGAGAATTAGCATCACACCAACTCTTGATTTTTGGTAGATCCACAGTTATCATCTCCCAGAGATTATCGCCTGTTTCCGCATGCCATAGAAGAGTGGTGTCGTCCGCGAAGAGAGTGAACTTACCCCGAATATTCACCATCGCAAGGTCATTAATATATACCAAGAAAAGAACAGGTCCCAACACCGATCCCTGCGGTACACCATAGTGACATACTAAGGGAGCCGACTCATCATCGCCAACTTTCACCACCTGAACCTTCTCGGAGAGATATGTCTTGAACCACAGATTCGCCTTTCCCCGTATACCACAGCGGTGAAGTTTCCGCAGCAGCACTTCGCGATTTACGCAGTCAAAGGCCTTTAAAAAGTCGCAAAATACTGCTGCAGCCACATCTCCGCCATTCAGACTTGTGTAAAGGGTCTCCAGAAGCGAAAAGATTGCATCACTCGTATTCTTAGATGCTTGAAAACCAAACTGCGAGGCTGTTATCACATTAAATGCCGATAGAAAATGAACCAGCCTCGATTTCACTAGCTTCTCAACGACCTTCGAAAGGGTGGCAAGTAGCGATATAGGGCGGAAATTAGATGGATCTTCGCAACTCCCCCCCTCGTGCAACGGAATTACAACCGCCCGTTTCAAGCAGGATGGAAATTCGCCAGTTTCGAAAGATACGTTAATCGCATTTGCGAGTGAAAGTAAAGCAGATTCTGAAAGATTCTCAAACACCTTAATGGACATTCCATCATATCCAGAAGAATTCCTATTCTTGATCTGCGAAAACACATCCTTTAATTCAATCACATCGACGGGGTGAAAGTAGAAACTGCAGGGAACATTGAACTCCCCAAGATAATCCAAAGGATCTTTACTACTTGTAGTATTGGATGTTGTTTTCTCGAACACAGAACAGAAAAAAGCATTCAGAGTATCAGGCTCCATGTTGACAGTTCCAGAACATGAGGTGTGTCTGCCTCTTAAATCATTTATGATAGACCAGTTTTCCCTTGTTCTGTTTCCAGCTCGTGTAAAACGATGTTTATAATATAAATCCTTGGCATTCCTGTAAATACGTCTATATGAATTAAAATAAGACACGAAAAAGTTGTTGTTAATATTAAATTTACGAATATAGTGCAGACAGCGCAAATTTCTAGAAGATACTCTTATTCCAGATGTTACCCATGGTTTACCTTTTTCAGATTTTATTTTTATTTTTTTTATAGGAAATATTGTGTTAAAAAGGTCAGTTAGCTCGTGATGAAATGCACCCAATGGATCGGAAGACCCTGCAATGTGGTCCCACTGTACGGCTGCGCATTGCTCCCCAAAGGTTTTAAAATTTTTCGCACTAAAAATTCTACCCATTCTCCATTTCTCTCTCATCTGATTAAGTTTATTCGAAAACCCTACCAAAACAGCCTCATGGTCAGACAGCGCTGCAGACAAAACACTTACATCATTCAGATCAAAGTTTGTACAGAAATAATCCAAAATTGACGAGCAGTTCTGGGTTATGCGCGTTGGACTGTTTACTTGCATCTGTAAGCTGAAGGACGCAAATATATTATCTAAGGTTTGAGTGTACAAGGACGATTTATCAGCATAATTGATATTAAGGTCACCACCCAAAGCTAATTTAGAATTAATGGGAAAATTGCACAAAAGACTGTCAAGTCGCTGAAAGAAAATTGTCAAATCACAGCCCGGAGGTCTATAGATACATAACACATACATATTAAAATTATTTATATAGACTATCGAGAATTCAAATTCTTTCTC